CCATCCTGACCTCCACTCTTAGCTCGCTCCTGCACCATACCTCCCACCCAGACATCGCAGCCCCACCCCTTCCTGCACCCATTTTGTCATCATGGGTGGTTGGCTGATGATCTGCGGAAAGGTTTGAGTACCACCACCATAGGAATACCCATGTCCAACAACACTGGCAAGTCAAAGCCAGCTCGTTACGAAAATTCTTTTTGCATTTTCTCCTGAGACCTTCTCCATGCCACCTTTTCTGGTGCTCTGTAGAACTACTTCAGTGGAGCTATACTCAGTTGAAAAACTCCAGCAGCTAGCCAATGGGGTTAACCTTTTCAGCTGGTATACTGCTCATCTCAACAGACAATGGCTGTCCTTGAGCTAATTGGAGCATTTCTGTCCTGCACTTTCCAGGCACTATTATCTGTTCATAAATTTTACTAGGAGGCCTTTCTTTCCTTAATGGAGCCTTCTTAAACAATAATCCATCCTTCATAAAAAAAATCTCCCCTCGCTTTTTCAGTTGGGGCAACAACAAATTCTTTCTGTGCTTCTTTAAAGTCCAGAATCACCTCTGGGACAGTCAAATTCTCATATGGCATAAGATGGAATATACTCTCTGCCTGCTGACAGTTTTCCTCACTGACACCACAGAGGGTACTTGTGGCCTGGTACCCACATTTCACTTTAGCTGGGTTGTGAGCAGCTGTAAGGATCCACCCATGTGGATCTCTAAGGTGCTACAGGACCATTGTTGTTTTTAAAATTTTGTTAGTTACAGATTAACATGGCTACCTCTCTGAGACTTTCAAAATGGTTATAGTATTACATTCACAACACAACTTTCAATGGCTTTTTAGTCTCAGATATAACTAGAACTAGTACCTATATACATTTTTATATTACCAGATTATTTAATTTACAAAGTACAGCAATGAAGGGAGAACATTAAATCCTTTCTTTTACGAAATTGCAAATATTCCATGGAGTTGCTTCATAGTATCCTACTACAGTTTTCACTTTGTCTATACAGGGCTTTATAGTGTGGCTACTTTACAAAGATACAAGGAATTTAGCGTCTACACTATAGATACAGGCACACATACATTGTCTCATAGATACCGCAAGAGGAAAGTCCAAATCCTGCTTTCACATTAACAAGTACAACTCTCACTGAATTCAGTGTGCTGTGTGCAAGTATCTAAAGTCAATTTGGCTCAATGACTTTAAAGACTTACCAGAAATTATTTCTGATGCAGTAATATTTATAGTATAGATTCTTTAACTATGTAAAGAAATTTCAATGAGGTTCAAGAATAAGGCTCCCTTGGGTCATTAATGGTGCAGGCCAGTGTTTTTCAATTTCAGGCCTGTGGACCCATGTCGTCCACAGACTATGTCCATGAGGGTCTGTAAAAGGTCATTGTTGCCATAGAACAGTGATTTTTCAACTGTGATCTGTGGACAACATGGGGGTCCACAGAGTACATCTAAGATTTCCAAAGGGGTCTGACCTACATTTCAAATTTTTAGAGGTTAACAACAACTCTCTGACTATGGTTATCCAGCCAATTATGCACCCATCTTATTGTGGCCCTATCTAAGTTATATTTGCCTAGTTTATCAATAAGAATATCATGCGAGACCGTATCAAATGCCTTACTAAAGTCTAGGTATATGACATCCACCGCTTCTCCCTTATCCACAAGGCTCGTTATCTTATCAAAGAAAGCTATCAGATTAGTTTGGCATGACTTGTTCTTCACAAACCCATGCTGGCTATTCCCTATCACTTTATTACCTTCCAAGTGTTTGCATATCGTTACCCATCAAGATATAACTTGGTAGCAAATCCCTAATACTAACCAAATCTCACATTTAAAATTTTCCCCCTCAAGGTGGATTTTGGCCAAAAGCCACTTTCACAGAGAACTCAAGAGAGTCAGAATATTCAAACTCTTATCTGGCAACAAATATGCTGCTCTGACAAGAATTCCTTTAACTAAAGTAATATTAGATGTTTAATCGTCCCATGCTACACATCCAACATTATGAACTTTTGCATTGTTAACAAATTCTTTTCTATCAATCATGGAATCATTCCTTTTCCATCTCCTTTGAGATTAAGTGACAGAATTTGCACTCAAGATGGCAGTGTTAGTGCTTACATGCTTATCCTCAGTATTTGAGCTAATAGCATTAGCAAGGCAAGATTTGTTGGTGTGAACTATGGAGTGCTTTTAAGGTTCGGGCAGTTTGGTTTTATATAGCCACTGTGATTACAGATAACCTGATTCATTGAGGGTGAGAGGTTTTATGTTCTTTAAGGGTTTTTTTTTTAACAAAATTGGGATTAGGTTTATTATTAAACCCTTCATCCCTTTTAAATTGTGGTGCAGAGGGATTATCTTTCCTGTTGGACATGAACCTCTCACAAACCCTAATTTCTATATATTCGTCATCAGTGTCTGCTGCTTTTAAAACGAAGTCAGGCTTTCTGTCACATATTGTAGCCTTAACATCTTCAGGTGTCAGCCTAAGCAACTTCTGTAGGGTAATTGAATTCAACAGTTTTCCAAAGTCATCATATGCTCTCACTCCCATGACTCACTTCTTAACATAACCAAGCAATTTATGTGTGCATTCCACATAAGTAACATTATCAGTCATCTTAAAATTTCTAAATTGTAAGCAATATGGGTTAGGAGTAATTTTAACATTTTCAATGCAGTTTCTTTAAACTTTTTATAATCTCAAACCTCCTCCACCCCCCATTTCATTAAACATTTACCTCATTTAACAAGTCAGTTTGGTCAAAAGAATTGGCATCCAGTTTTCTGGTGGAATTTTATGACACAACACAGAGACTCAATAGTAGATTAAAAGTCTTAAATATATTTTTCTAACTGAGCACTAAATTTGGGATTGGGAAGGAGTTTTCCCCAAAATCAGATTGCCAGAGACCCTTGGTTTGTTGTGTCTTCTTCTGTGGCGTGGGACAAGGTCACTTTTAAGTTAAACTAGGTAAATGGTGGATTCTCTGTAACTTGAAATCTTTAATTCATGATTTTTGAGGACCTCAGTAACTGAGCCAGAGGTTATGGGTCTGTTACTGGAGTCGATGGACAAGGTTCTGTGGTCTGCAATGTGTAGGTGGTTAGATTAAGGTCAGAAGGGAACATCGTGATCATCTAAAGTCTATGAAGAACATTCTGATTTGCTGTAAAGTACCACAGGAGCTACAATGGAGTGAAGAATTATTCCCCTGGATTGCATAGATATAATCACTTGGGATGGTGATTTACTTTGGCTTTGAAGTCCCCCTTAATGTGACTACAGGGCAGATGTATTGTTGCTCCTAGTACCCTTCATCTCTTTATTTATGTAGTAACGCTATTGTTCAGTTAAATAATTCAGTATTTCTTTAAAGAAGGACATCATAAACACCTTTTTTCATCTACCCAAGCACAGCCATAGCAGCTGAATATCCATTTGCTGTCTGACAAATAGAGATGGGCTGGAATGTGATTCTTAACTCGTAACACTCTGAACTTTGGGGAAAGTTCGGACTGAGATAATGTTCCACAGCCAATGGCTCAAGTCCATATCCAAATGTGTATAATGACAAAATCCTATTATAAAAAATAATCAAAGTTCACACCATTTCTTGGAAGCAGTTTATTACATCTGTCTTCACAACTTCACAACTCGTTTCACGAGGGTTAGACTCATATCCCTTTCTTAGCATCTGATTAAATATTCTCTTCTTTCTGGAAAACAGTTTTTGTTTAAATTTAAATCAGGTTTTAAAAAAACCTAGTTGATATAAAAAGCTAACTTTTTGAAGTAAAAAAACAAAAATGCAATCACAGTTAAAAATAGTTCTTTGAAGTTCTATAGCATAAGGACACTGAAATGAATTAGCAATATTAGTCAATTCTCTCATCTTTTTTACAAGAAGATAGGTGAAAATGGAGACATCTGGGCTACATCTACACTGGTGGCTTCTTGTGCAAGAACAGCTGTTCTTGTGCAAAAACTTGCCGGGTGTCTACGCTGCACGTGCGTTCTTGCGCAAGTAAATTTACAGTCTAGCGTCGGAAAACGGCTTCCTCTGGAAGAATTATTCCTCTCCCCACGAGGAATAAGCCCTCTTGCGCAAGAGGGCAGTGCAGACAGGCAACATGAATTTCTTGCACAAGAAAGCCCTGTGGCTAAAATGGCCATCAGAGCTTTCTTTCGCAAGAGAGCGTCCACACTGCCATAGACACTTTTGCGCAAAAGCACATCTCTTGCCCAAAAGCACATGACAGTGTAGATGCGCTCTTGTGGAAGACTTTTTGCGCAAGAACTCTTCCACAAAACAGTTCTTGCGCAAGAAGCTACCAGTGTAGGCGTAGCCCTGGAGTTTAGGATCCAAATATTAAAACTTGTGCAAGATACTGGGTTGAAATTCTGGCTCCATTGAAGTAGCTGGCAAAGCGTCCATTAATTGCTGAGGGACCAGGATTTCACCCTGATGCATGTACAGAGATTAGAGTTGTTGTAAAATGTAATGGGAAAGTGCATATTCCTGACTTGTGAGCATTCAGGTGACTTGCCCTTACAATTCATGAGCTTACTGAAGGTGTGTATGCTTTCTGTGTGGACTAGCTGTGCATGAGGCAAACTTAGCATGTTATGGGGCACCAGGACATTCTGTTAGTTGAAGGTTGCTTCCTTCTTCCAGTAGTTGCCTATATAAAAGGATCATTGACTTAGGAGCCTGATGGAATAATCTGCCAGGATTCCTGCTTGTTGTTCAGCCTTTGATACATGTTCCATAAGTGGGAACTTGGTCCTTTGACTATTCAGTAGTTGATGTTTAGACTTTGAGTAAAATTTTCAAAAGCTCTATTGATTATCAATGAAACTTAGATGCCTAAGAGACTCATTTTTGAGATGGGCTTAGTCTCCTAAATCTCCTGGGCCACATTTCAAATTTAATCCATATTTTGTCTGACTTTTTTCCCTAATAGGCTGCTTGGCTACTGAGAGCTGTCACCTGCATAGACCTCACTACCCTGTCAGGTGATGATACCCCTTCAAACGTTCACAGGCTTTGTTACAAAGCCAAACATCCAATTAGAGAGGATCTCTTGAGAGCCATGAATATGCATGATAAAGGTATGATGGTTTTGGTTATATCATTTGCAAGGTTTGACTGTGTAAAATTGGTTATGGTCAGAACAACAGGCTTTGTTTACATAAACTTGATAGCTTCTTCTTTTTTAACATCCATTGCCTGAACATTAGTGATGTTAGAGTTAGCGTTGCACAGCCAGACATCTCTAGAAGAATGAACTGGATCCTAGACAGTCTCATTCAAGAAAGTGGTAACACAAGTTCCGATTGCAAAGTATTCATCCCTAATTATGATATAAGATGCGGATCCTAGACAGTCTCATTCAAGAAAATGGTAACACAAGTTCTGATTCCAAAGTATTCATCCCTAATTATGATATAAGATGTGGGGAAACCCCCTCACCTTGATTTACAGTTCCCCAGTCAGGGTTGCAGTAGGGACAGTTAAGGTATGTCTACACTTGCACCTTACATTTGCATCCTTAGTTTGAACTAAGCGGTTAATGAAGCGAGGATTTAAATATCCCGTGCTTCATTAGCATGATCTCACCGGTGTGTTACTCCACTCAACAGCTGTTCCAAAAGTGAAAGTGCACGCCGGGGCACATTAGTTCGAACCAAACCCCTTGGTTCGAACTAACGTTACTCATTTTGAGGAGTAACATTAGTTCAAACCAAGGGGTTTGGTTCAAACTAACACATCCCGGCATGCACTTTCACTTTCGGAACAGCTGTTGAGCGGAGTAACACGCCGGCGAGATTATGCTAATGAAGCACGGGATATTTAAATCCCTGCTTCATTAGCAATTTTGGTCCCCTACATTTGCATCCCTAGTTCGAACGAGAGTGCAAGTGTAGACGTACTCTCTGGGAGAACTAATGTGATATGGAAACCATTAAGAGAATAAATACAAAACTGCATCATATGCATCTCTCTTTTAATAACTGGACAGTAAACTGGCACTGAATCGATTTGCATTATATGCACATGATATCCCTAATAAACTTTGGGGATTCTTTAGTGTCTCAAAATACTTTGGGTCATATCCCTGATTGATGTTATGCTGTGTGGCTCCAGGATCTTGTCCTTTGTGCAGACACATGAAGGGGTGTTGTAAAACAACAGGCTTTTTTTAATCTCTCCTCAACGTTATGTTTGCTGCTAAATTATGTCAGTAACTAAGGGAGGGATCAAAATAACAGCTAGCCCTGTCTATTAATTATGACTTCAGTGGCGTCAGGATTTGACCATAAGGGTGCGTCTACACTGCAGCTGGGAGATATGATTCCCCGGGTGTGTAGAGATTTGTTTTAGCTTGAGTAGAGCTACTGCACTAAAAATAGTACAGATTGAACCTCTCTGGTCTGGGATTCTTGGATGTTGCTGGACCAGAGAACCCTGGACCAGAGCCCCAGCAGCAGTCTGCTGGGAATCCAGCAGGGGGCTGGGAGGGCAGGGCAGCCTGGCAGCCGCTGGGGGCAGAAAGCAGAGCCCAGCTAGCCCCTGGGCTGGGAGCAGAGCCAGGCTAGCCAACCTCTGGGTCCAGGAGCAGGGCAACAGCCGGGAGGAAAGCCAGTGGGGAGGCCAGAGCTCCTGGGAGAGCCCTCATCTCCCCTGCTCCAGCAAACTCCCTTTTCTAGGAATTGTCAAGTCCCGAGGGTGCCGAACCAGGGAGTTCCAACCTGTAGTGTGGACACTATTGCATGGACAACGGCTCAGGATATCTGTCCAAGTCCAACTGTCCTGTTGGGTTTAAGTTTAGGCAGCTAGCTGAGCTGCAGCCCTTGCAGCAGCTTCCATGCTACTATTTTTAGCATGCTAGCTCAGTAGCACTGGAACAGTTTTTGGCGTGGGGTTGTTGAACTGCACTCTTCTCCCTGCCCCACTCCTGTCCATACCCCTAGAGCTGAGGCTGGCAGCCAGGACCCTGGTCCCAGCAGCTGGGTGGGACCTCACATGTGAGGCATGAGGAGACCCCCAAGGGCAGGAGGCGGAGCTTCCGGGCAGTAGTGGTGCTGGCAGCCAGGGTGCTGCGTGGCAGGGACATGTGGCCAGGAGGCACAACACTTGGGGATGCTACCGCACCCCTACTACTCATGCCTATGCCCAAACTTAAGCAGAGCTACCGCAAGTCTTTCTACCCATGCTTGGAGTCACACCACCTGGCTGTTACATAGGCATTCCCAAAGTATCTTGCAGAAGTGGGGCCTCAATATAAGTCTCCATGTTACACCCAATGCTGGCTGGAGTAAAGTGTCAAGGCATTTATGTGGCCATGCAGAATTTCTATTAAATGATAGCTGTAAAATGGCACCTTTTCATACATGGTACTGTACAGTGCTGAATATTGTAACTTCTCAGAAATATTAATATCATGGATGTGTCGGATGCAGGAGACTCTTTTACAATGCCACATGATTTGGGTGCTTTGTTTGAGCTGTAACATTCAAACAAAGTCAAACGCACAAAGGTAAATATTTGGAGCCTGGCTGATGAATCGTAGTGATAAGTTCTACACAGGTATTATCCCATTGTTTTCAACACCGGTGTACTGTGTAAAAACTAGAACAACATAGTGGTGTATTATCCCCTCACTATAAGGCATATTCACGAAATAAGAACTCCTCCCAATACCTTTTTAAGCTCTGATTTAAGAATTCTTTCTAACCCTATATACATTTAAAAAATATATTAAATATGAGGCAAATTTTCTTAGGATGTGAGAATAAAATTTGAAATAGAAATGCAGTGATACTATGCTAACACAAACTGTATCCCATGCTGGTCAAGCTGTGCTCTAGGCCCTTACGATACTCTGTTATCATAGTTTCTGACATAATAAATCTCAACCAAACTGGTTTAAAGAACTCCTGCCTTAAACTGTATCTGCAATTGAGCTACTACTGATGTAGCCCCACTGTTCTCTGGGTAGAGCTCACAGACATGGTGGTAACACTACTAGACACCACCTGAGCCTGGCTGTGATCAGAGAGCTCATGATTGCTACAGCCAGCGGAGATCAGTTGGTGGTTGTAAGAGATTTTTAAAAAAAGAAAGAAATCTAGTGCCCACAAGGTCATAGTGTGGACAAGGGGAAAATGAATATTACATGGAAATATATAAGTAAAACAGTGGATTGTAACTTTTTGCAGGTATTACAACAGCAGCTGTTTGTGTGTATCCAGCAAGAGTAACTGATGCTGTTAAAGCACTCAAGGCTGCTGGTTGTAACATACCAGTAGCTTCAGGTAAGTGTCTTTTCTTTATGAGTATTATTTGATAGATTCTTTTCCCAGTGGGCTTATGCCCTTTTTACTTTTATAAGATGTGTAAGAATACGTGAATGGGTTGTGGGATTTGGTTTTGTTGGTTTTTTTTGTTGGGGGAGAGGGGAAAGATCCTCCTTGTTTTTCACTAAGAAGAATTTGGAATGTGACGTTTTTAGTTGTCAAATCTAAGTTTTGCTGGAGGAAGATCTCCTGGGGAGACTTTGAGGTTTGTATGTTAAGCTCATGCTTGAACTGAAGGGTTAAGGATAACTAATCTTTATACAGACATTTTTATTCCCTACTGGAATTAGTTATTAAAGCTGAATAGATGTTAACATCAACAAATCCAAATCAGAGTTTTAAGCGATGTGAATACAAATCCCTTCCTTGCTTAACAGCTCAGTTTTTAGATTGCATACAGGTGGATCCTTCCACCCGTTGAAGTCTGTGCAAGTACAAGGGCCGATCCATGTAAAAATACTTTAATTTTGACTCTTTATGTTGTCAACATTTCACTAGTTTTCCAGGCTAAGGATGTTAAGTATCGACTAATTGACTAATCAAATAGTTGGTTCATTTTGCATCAATAGTGTGCCTTGGCTTTTGAAGTGCAGCAACAGCCCTGCTGACCTTGGCCTCCACGAGGCACTGCTGCTTTGAAACACTGTGAGGAGCTTGACACTGGAGTCCCTGGGGTGTTTCAAAGCGGTAGTGCTGCATGGAGCCTGGGGTCAGCAGGGGAGTCCACAGCTGATCCTGGGCTAAACCTGGTGCTGTTGCTTAGAAACGCCACATGCAGCCTGGGGACACCCCAGCTGGCCCTGGGTTGCACACGCATTTCAAAATGGCAGTGCCATGTGGAGCCTGGGGTCTGGCCCCCAGGCTTCCAGTGGTGCTGCCGCTTTGAAAAAAAACATTTTTCTTCCCCCACTCTCTTGCTGCCTCTTTTTGATAGAGGCAGCAAGGGAGGAGGAAGTTACTAGTCGACTATCCTGTTGACTATCTGATAAGCATTTGCTTATTGGATAGTTGTCCTTCGTATCCCTATTCCAGGCACCACAGAGAGGAGACAGTGTGAAATTTAGGTTTGAAAAAACACCATAAAAACATGTGCATGATTTCTTGACTCTCTTTTTACATCATAATGGTGAGGCAGGAGGGAGAGGGAGTAGCACAGTGAATGCAGGATAAGGCTATTTTTTCCTTTTCAAGTCATCTTTATGTTAAGTACAAAAATTAAAACGGTTGACCAATGTTCCCTCTGAGCTACCTAGTATAGCTTCACAGGCCATTCAGCAGCCTCCTCCCCCAGTCATTCAGCCTCTGGGAGGGGCAGATTAATCGCCTGTGAAGTGCAGTTTAACGGGAACTCTGCTGTTGACTAGTGTGTGATTGCATGCAACTTTACCTATTGTGATTCTTGTTTGCTCATATTAGATGCACTTATTTTCAAATACTATTTACAAGAATTTGGGAGGACTGAAGAATGTACACATCAAAGATTATTTCACACATTAAGTCAAATTCATTCCTTGTGTATGCAGGCAGAACTCCTCTGAAGGCAGTGGATTTATATGTATTAACCAGGCTGAATTGGAAATAGCTGTAAGGAAAGTGGGGGAAAAAATCCATTTGCAGGAATTATTTAAAACTGAGCAAATCATTGAATAAACAACTCAAGGGAAGAACTAGTACTCCTGTAGATGAGGTGGGGGATATCGTAGGTGCTTTGTGGGCCTTTGAAACTATGTCTACACTGGAACTCCTGAAATAACTATTTTGAAATAAGCTTATTTCTCTTCACAAGCAGGAGTTATTATTTTAAAATAACAAGCCCATTATTTCATAATAATGAGGTTGGTAGTGTGGACACTCACCTTTGTTATTAGAAAATAAGGGGAGTTATTTCAAAATAACTCCCCAGTGTAGACATGTCCTCAGTGTTTACTGGGGTTGTAGAGTAACTTCCCTTTCAGGGAAAAAAGAAAAGCTTGACTTTTTATATGCCTTAATAACAATTGTGTTTATATATAAGCCTTTGCATCACAGCTTTATTTCTTCCATTCTTCATAGTGGCAGCTGGGTTTCCAGCTGCACAGACTTCACTGAAAACCCGATTAGAAGAGATTAGGATTGCGGTGGAAGATGGTGCAAGAGAGATTGACATTGTAATTAACAGAACCCTTGTGCTGACTGGACAGTGGGAAGGTAAACACTCATTAAAGCTAAGGAGCCAACTTTTATTTTAAGCCCATGTTGGTGATGGCAGAATGTGATGTTTGGTTGCCACTATGGGCCAAGATTTTCAGAAATGACTAGTGATTTGAGTATCTCTGGTTTTTTGGGTGCTGAGCTTGAAACACCCAGAAAGAGACTGATTTTCAGATGGCGGGAATGCTTACCACTTGGTGAAAATTCAGGCTATTTTAAGGTGTGTTAGACTTGAAAAGGTTTATAAAAGGAGATATTTGAAAAATGATTTCCCAACTACTGCATAGTTAAAGTGAAACAGAAGAAAAGTGAATGCTGATGGTCTAATTACTCACAAACAGAATGGTTAAAAAAATACCCAAACGGGTTGTCAGTGTAGATGGTATCTCGTTAAAATGTGCATTTTGGTCCTTGACAAAAATGGATGTCTTCTAATTGCTTTTCTCCGAAGTTGAGGGTACAGATTTACAGTTCATATTATTACTGGTATTCTCTCTCTCTCTCTCTAATTAGTAAGTGTAATAATACTAAAGATGGTTTCTACTCTAATTGGTTCTTCCTTAATGTACTGTGAATGGTTTGCCTTAAGTGCTGACAATAGTCCTATAGCTAATATCCATGTAAAGGTAAACAACACATCCTTGTCTTGGAATCAAATTTTCATTTAGTTTTACAATGCAGCACTAATAACCTTCACTGAGAACACTTCAGAAAAGAACATACAATAATGGAGTTTGGTTAAAGAAATGTAATCATCATGGTGACATACCATAATTTTCTCATTTCCATCATCCTTCAATTAACTTTTAGCCTTGGACTAAAAATCCATCAATTTCAACATGCCAATGTTTGTCTCTTCATGAGTATTAAGTTTGTGCTTACTTGTTTATGTATCTTGATCTCTTTCACAATATACTTCACTTACACCAGCTTGTACTCAAATATATGCAGTAACCCAGATCATGGGCATCAGCTTGGCTGTCTTTCCATATGGCTATTTTGATTTCAGATGCAGTAAGTAAGTTGGTGATCTCAGTTCTGATTGGTGTGCACTGACATCTATGTCACAAAAGCAGCATGATTGTTCAACCTTTGTTGGCAGTCTTACTTAGATTGTTCGCTCCCAGTTGCATAGAACAGTGGAGTCCTGCTCCATGACTGAGGCTTCCAGGTGCTCCCACAATACAAATCATAAATAACAACAACAGGACTGAAATAGCCATGGTAACTAGGTGATCCTTTCCCCCTCACACCTCAGGTAAAAGATAGAAGAACATTCACTGGGAACAGACCTGTACACAGGAATTTCTGGGGAGGGGGGTGTGCAAACTGTGGAAGGGGCTGGTGGCTGCTCAGCCCCTGCAGCCCAGCCCTGCCTCCAGCCTCGCTCCTGGAGAAGGGGGGAAGATCAGCCCCAGCATTCCCCCAGCCAACCGGAGCACAGAGCAGAAAGGCTGGGGCAACATGCTACTCTGCCTTCCCCCAGCCAGCTGAAGCATGGGGGAGGGATGCTGGGGCAACACGCCGCCCCAGGCTCACGCTTACTTTGAGGATCATGGGGGGTGCATTCTCACCCTTTGGAACCGCCCCCCCCCCCCCACACACACACACAGAGGCCTGGGGAAGAAAGCAGAAAGCTCAAACAGTTGCTGTTCACAATGTATTTGCTCCCAGGACATAAATGGAAATATAAATAATCATCATTCAAATGCCATCTGAAACCTCATTTTGTTGTGTTGATGTTTGTGGTGTTCTTGCTTAGTGAGTTGGGAGACATTAATACCCTGTCTATGCTACTATGAAGCTAAACTGATCTTGGAAAGAGTCTAGCACAATTTGAACAGTGTTAAGTGAAACCATTTTAAAAGCCAGCTTATGTCTTTGCGGCACTGTGGAAATGTATCACATTAGAAATTGAGCTAGTACCATTTTAAGTTAATCATGACTTAGCTTCTAGAATAGAATAGACTAATACCATTGTATTGTTGATGTATTAATTAGCTGGTTGTGGTTAATCATAATCCCTCTCTCATGGCCAGCTAGCACATTTTTTTAAACACAGACATGCATGACTACAATAGGCTCCAAATAGTATTTAGCACATTTTCTAAAACAGTGCATTTTGTAAGTGTAGACCTATCCTTTGAATGACCAGACAACAAAGATTAGATGTACTAGACTTCTTGTCAGAATGGTATGGGCACTAGTTTAGGTTCAAATGTGATTCTGTAGCACCTTTCCTGAATGGTTTAGAAATTGCTTAGTGTAGACACAAACCGAGCCAGTTGCAGTATGGAATGTAGTGGGCATAGTCTTCTATAACTTTTTATAGGGTCAAGTATACAGCTGGAACTAATCGTGAATAATCTTAATGTTAAATAGAGTTAACATTTTTAAAAGCTACTCTATGATGAATATCAATGGCATTAATCCAAGTTCTTTTTTTTTTTTTTTTTTTTAACTATCTGACCAAATTCCAGTGTATAGTAGTTTTGTGTTGGATACTAATATGGATCCAAATAATTAGAGTATAAGGTGACTAATATATTTCCACTAGTAAACATTCTTGAGAGCTCCAAAACTCAAAAGGATTAATTTTTTAAAAAAGCTAATTAGTTATCAGATATGAACAAATTCATCTTTAAAAGTTCAGATTGTGCCCTTCTGTGGAAAACCCCGCTGAATGGGATCTGTCCAGCAGAGTAAGATTTTCAAAAGGTTCCCTCCTGTTGTTTCAGATAGACAGTTCTGACATCCAGGCAGGGTTTGTCTTTTCTACCTAGGGAGCAAGAAAAGAGTGTTAACTTAGATTTCTCCCTCTTGTTAATTGTACTGGAAGCTTAAGCCATCTGCACAATAGAACCCTGTGGCTCCACACTTGTTCTGAGGCTATTTGCTGTCTTTTACTCCATTCAGCCACAACCAGGGACTCCCTGATTCACCAACAGTCCTCCTAAGGGAGTTTCACATTGCAGGGAGAACTATAAGAACTCAGGCTATGTCTAGACTGCAGACTTCTTTTGGAAGAACCTTTTTTTGGAAAAGATCTTCCGAAAAAAATTCTTCCGAAAGAGAGCGTCCACACACACAAGTGCATCAAAAAAGCAATCTTCTTTTTTGAAAGATAGTGTCTGCACTGATTGGATGCTATTTTGCATGTAAGGTGTTATTACCATGGACGGAATGGCCACCAGGGCAGCTGTGCTTTCTCCGCTTTCCGATTACCATGGACGGAATGGCCAACAGGGCAGCTGTGCTTTCTCCGCTTTCCTCTTCTTTCGAAAGAACTCCCTCTTCCCCATCCACACATGCCTTTTTTGTATGGCCAAGCAGAGAACCTGCATATAATGGGTGCTTCTACATCAGTGGTTTTCAAACTATGGGTCGTGACCAGTACTGGGTTGTGGAATGTCAGACACTGGGTCTCATTGCTGCAGGGTAAGCAGGTGACCACTGGGGGTGCTAAGACAAGCTACCTGTCTATCCTAGCACTGCAGACTGTCCTGCGCTCCAGAAGCAGCTGACAGCAGGCTCGGTTCCTAAATGGGGAGGCAGATAGCACTAGCTGCACTCCCATTGGCTGCTGGCTGCTTCTGGGTTGCTGCTTTTGAGGTGCAGCATGGTCTGCAGTGCTAGGACAGGCAGGAAGCCTGCGTTAACACCCTCCCTGAGCCACTCAAGGTAACCCCTTTCTGCCCCAGCCATGACACTCTCCAAACCAGAGACCCCTCCTCCCCCCCAAAGTTCTTGTCCTCAGCCCAATCCCAGATCCCAATTATGTTGAGTCACAGGCACCAGACCTTTTTTTCAACTGGGTCATGAGAAAAAAAGTTTGAAAACCACTGTTCTACATGATTGTCTCCACATTATTACTTGAGCAGGAGAAAGGATGGGGTCTTGAGCACATATCAGGCTAACCCAGTTGACTGTTACAGAGTCTTTTCCACAAGGGAACACCAAACTGTCCAAGAGTAGCTACAATTGGTGCCTAAAAAAGTCATCAGGAATTGTTCTGCTTAATGTGCAGAACAGGGCTTGAAGTTGTTTCTGATCATGCCTGCAGTTACCATGCTTCAAAGGTCACAGCATGGGCAGGCTTTAGACAGACTACTCAGAACAAGGGTCACCCAGTTACCCATGTAATCAGCTGATAATAGAACAGAAAGTATATTGAACATGGCTATAAAAAGGGACATCAAAGAAGAAACAATGGGCAGATTCTTTTTACTGCATGAAATTGTGACCTGAATTATGCAGGAAGTCAGACTACGTCAGTGGTTCTTAACCAGGGGTATGTGTATTCCTGGGGGCATGCAGAGATCAGGCCTACTGAGAGAGGGAGCAAAGAAGGCAGTTGCCTCAGGGCCCTGCAATTCAAAGTAGTCTGGGGCTCCCAGCTGCTGTTGCTGCTACTACAGCAGCGGCAGCTGGAGCCTCGGGCCCTTTAAATCACCGCCAGATCTCCAGGCGCTCTGGGAGGCTCCACAAGTGGGGGCTGCACTACATTCCAGCTGGTGCTGAGGGCTGGCCGCCCTGCCCCTTCTACCTGAGGCTGCCCCTTCCTAGAGGGCAGAGCTGGCTCCTGTATCTTGCCCAGGGATGTGCAGAGGTTGTCAGCTCCCCTTGCAGCGGTCATTCAGGTGATACATCAGCTCATCTAGATATTTGCCAACTTGTACAACAGCAACATAAAAACGCCCAGTGAAATCAGTACAAACTAAAATTTCCTACAGACACTGACTCGGTTATACTGTTCTGTGTACTATACACTGAACTGTAAGTCTAATTTTTATATTCCAATTGATTTATAATTATGTGGTAAAAATGAGAAAGTAAGCCATTCTTCAGTAACAAATCAGACTCCTTAAAAGGGATATAGTAGTTTGGAAAGGATGAGAGCCACTGGAATAGGTGACAACTGTGGTCCCATCTGGCCTGAAAATCCATTGATTCTTATTGAAGTTAATTGGAAGTTGCAGGTTTGAGGATTGGCTCAA